GTTCTTTCCGCTTTCAAAATGAACGAAAGATAAGCCATCGGAAGGAAGATGTATTTGTTATTTTAGACTGAGGAAGCGTAGACGAAATGCAACTTCGAGTGATTTTTGATTTCAAAGTAGTTCATAAGCAGCTGAAACAACTCAATATGAGAGTGCGTTTGGCCTAAGAATTGAAGTGAGTATTACAGTGCAGTATTGGGAAGTTTTGTAGAAGAGACGAGACCATTGAAAGTGAAGGAAGTAGTCCCTGGAAGTTGGAAATGATCGGCTGAGATCATTCATCGAAACTGTTGGTTACAGCCATGCGAAAAGTTGATGCAGTAAAAAAATTTGACTATCCTGCGGTCCTTCGAATTCAGTCGATTTGAAAAAGTGAAGTACTTGATAAGTGGTGGACTTGTAAGTTGGTCTTTAATCAAAGACGTCATTGTTTTGAGGTGTCGATTTCCCCTTATTCTGTACGACGCCAAAGAGCAATTTATTCGATTGAATTGTGACGTATGGTTAGAAGTGAACTACCATAACATCCAACGGCTATTCCAGCGATTAGATGGAGAAGCTCTAAAGCACTTTGAGCCTAAAAAAGTTCTGATTGTTATCTGGTGATCTGCTGCCACTTGATTTTCAAAATTCCGATAAAAACATTGGGAAATATAGCCATCAAATTAATCTGCTTGAAAACTGCAGTGTTTTCAGATACTAGTGATCAGTATAAAAGATCTAATTCTGTACTATAACTAACCAAATGTTAGAGTACTTATGCTTCAAAAGTTGAATGGATTTGGCTACTTTTTGCTATGTTTGATATAGTCATTTAACCATTCTTCAAGTCCTTAACAACCTTTGCTGGGAGATGTATGGTATGTTCCTTAAAAGTTCATAGAATGGGTTTCTGTTTTACAGTAGTAAACTTATTTATCGTCGACAAAAAATGTGTTGTAATTTCTAGTTTTTTATTAGTAGAGATCTGTTTAAGCCTGGTTATAATAAATGCAAATTTGAATCCGAAATTGCTGTTACTTTTGCACCAACCTGATACAAATAGATGATAAGGCTAGAAATGATAGGCATATCTTCATATGTTACTTTTAGTTCCAGTTGCTATTAAGGCTTCGGTGTTATTTGCTCCATAATTGTTTAGTTTTAACTGTTGTCCAGGTCCTTTTAACGAACGTATGCTCGTCAAAATTATTTGGTTGTCTGATTAAAAAATAATGCCATCCTAAACATCTTTTCCGGGACTACAAATGACTGAACGCAGCAATATAACAGGCGAGCTTCGCATGAGTGCGTGTCAAGTTTCTCGAAAACGTTTTGATTGTTATGTGTTTTGTGGTGTATTTCCGAACAACACTCGATAAAAAATTCAATCGACTTATGCAGCTATCTTTGTTAGCAGACAGTGGTGATAGTGTTATCTTCATTTTACTTTCACGTACGTCTTTTCCATGACTTTATCTGTATAGATTGTCCCGGCCAAATTCTAGGGATGATCTGGATCCGGTTCAATTTGAACGACATGATTAGTTCCAGATCATTTCTAAAATTTGAGCCCGTCTTGAAGGGTAGAAGATTCATCCTTTTTTATGGGCAGATGATACCAGGCCGAGCGCCTTGGAGCTGTCAGCATTGCTGGAGAAGCAGAATAAAGTACTATCAGCATTGCTTGGTAAATTAGCAACCTCTAAGTCGGAAGTGCTTGTTGGAAACAGAAGCTCTCAACAAATCAACGATGGTGGTACGCAGGATAAGGTAAATTTCAGACTAGTGTTCTGGTTTTAATTATTTCGAATGCTGCTTATTTTGTTTGTTTAGCTGATCCTAATTTTTAAAGTCCAAAAAGTAATTAAGATTAGTATTTCAAAGTCAATTAAAACTAGTGTCTCAAAATTAAGTTTTTGCGCTTCACTGTCATTTTCAATTTTCCAGAAATATGATAGTTTGTTAATCCCAGTTGCTTGCAGAAGCAAGTATATGCAAAGAATTCTTTCAAGGGATTCCTGAAAACAGGTGCAATCCTACCTGATGGGAACGAAGAGTCGTTGATATTAGAGAACTGTCTGGAGGAGATAAGGAATGCCCACCGCAAGGTAGAAAATTTAGAACGAAAATTGGAAGTTAAAAAAACAGAATTAGCGCAAGCAAATGAGACGAATTCATTAAAACAGGTTTGTTCCGCCGATGTAGCTTTCACTGAGTGATTTATACCTTTCTTTACGAGTACAAAGGAGACCATTATAAAATGGGGTTTAGCAATTCGATATATATATATATATATATATATATATATAT